AAAGGAAAAAATAAAATCTTTAAAAATAAAAACAAGAGGGGCCAGCCCGGTGGCACAGTGGTTAAGCTCCCACGTTCCACTTCGGCAGCCTGGGGTTCACTGGTTCGAATCCCGGGTGCAGACATGACACCGCTTGGCAAGCCATGCTGTGTTAGGCGTGCCACATATAAAGTAGAGGAAGATGGGCACGGATGTTAGCTCAGGGCGTCTTCCTCAGCAAAAAGAGGAGGATTGGCAGTAGTTAGCTCAGGGCTAATCTTCTTCAAAAAAACAAAACAAAACAAAAAAACAAAGAAAAAAAGCAAGAGAGAAATGTTGGCACAGATGTGGAAAAAAGGGAACTCTCATGCACTGTTGGTGAGAATGTAAATTGGTGCGACCACTGTGAAAAACAGTATGGAGGTTTCTCAAAATATTAAAAATAGAACTATCATATGATCCAGCAATACCACTTCCAGGTATTTATCCAAAGAAAACAAAAATACTAATTCAAAAAGACATATGCACCCCCTATGTTCACTGCAGCATTATTTACAATAGTCAAGATGCGGAAGCAACCTAAGTGTCCATTGGTAGATGAATGGATAAAGAAGATGTGGTGTATACATACATTGGAATATGAGCCATAAAAAAAGAACGAAATTCTGCCATTTGTGACAACGTAGATGGATCTAGAGGGTATTATGCAAAACGAAATAAGCCAGACAGAGAAAGAACAATACCTTATGATTTCACTTATATGTGGAATCTAAAAAAACAAAACAGAAACAGACTCATAATACAAAGAACAAATCAGTGATTGCTACAGTGGAGGGGAATGGGGGATGGGTGGAGGAAGTGAAGGAGATTAAGAGGTACAAATTTCCAGTCATAAAATAAAGATCACGAGGATGTAATGTACAGCATAGGGAATATAGTCAACAATATTGTAATAACTTTGTTTGATGACAGATTATTACTAGTTTTATGAAGGTGATCATTTTGTAGTAAACAAATGTTGAATCACTATGTTGTACACTTGAAACTAATATAATATTGTATGTCAACTATACTCCAATAAATTTAATTCACTACATTTACAAAATAAAGGGAGAAAATTTTAATAAGAATAAACATCCATTAATGATTTTTTTAAAAAAGCTCTTAGAGAACCAGGAATAGAGGAAAGTTGCCTAATCTGATAGAGTATCCATTTAAAAAAATTTACAGGAAAAAGCATGATGATAAAATACTAAAAGCTTTCTCTCTGAGATCAGGAATAAGCCAAGAAAGTTCGCTATTATCAATTCTAATCATTATTATATTGGAGGCCCTAGCCAAGTGCAAAAAATGTAAAAAAAAAAAAAAAAAGAGTTTAAAGATTACAAAGGAAGAAATAAAACTATGATTTTGTACAGAAAATTCAAAAGAATCTACACATAAATTTTTAGCATATATATGATAGTTCAGCAAGTTTCTAGATATAAAGTCAAGTGTATTTCTGCATGCCAAACAGAAAAAGAAATCATTTACTATAGGATCAAATACTATCAAATATCTAAGATAAATCCAATGAAAAATATGCAAGACTTACACACACACATAAATATTATTTAAATAAATTAACTTAAATAAATGGTGGGATGTACCATGCTCAAGGTTTGGAAAATTCAACATTGTAAAGATGTCAATTTTCCCCAAATTAATTGACCCATAGATTCAATGTGAGCTCAGTCAAAAATCCCAACAGGTTTTCTGCAGACCTTGATAAGCTGATTCTAAAATGTACATGGAAATGTAAAAGCTCAAATATACCCATGAACAGTGGTGAAGAAAGAAAAAGGTGACAGGACTTGCCTACTGTATATCAAGACTTATTTAAAGCTACAATAATCGAGAGTGATAATATGGCTGCAAGAGTAGACAAATAGACTAATAAACAGAATAGAGATTGCAGAAAGAAACTCATGCATATACAGGCACTGAAGAGCAGTGGGGTATGGACAGTCTTTACTATGAAGGGGACTTGGTCACGGAGATGATTTTACAAAATTAAATTACCCTCTACTTTACATCCTACAAAAAAAAAATGAATTCTTAGTGAACTGTAAATGTAAATGTGCGAGGTAAAACAACAAAGCTTCTAGATAACAACATAAGAAAATATTTTCATCCTTTTGGAGTCAGGAAAGATATCTTCAACAGGTACTACCATAAATGAAAAGAATGATAAATTAAATCTTCATTAAAATTAAGAACATCCAGGGGCCGGCCCTGTGGCCGAATGGTTAAGTTTGCGCGCTCTGCTTCAGCGGCCCAGGGTTTCCCTGGTTTGGATCCTGGGCACAGACATGGCACCGCTCACCAGACCATGTAGAGGTGACGTCCCACATGCCACAACTAGAAGGAGCCACAACTACAATATACAACTATGTACTGGGGGGATTTGGGGAGAAAAAGCAGGAAAAAAAAAAGGAATGTCTGATCATCAAAAGATATATGTGACAAAGTAAAAGGCAAACGGCAAAGCGGGAGAACGTATTTCTGCATATAGAATTAAGAAAGGGCTCATATCGATTATATAAATAATTGCTACAAATTAATAAGAAAAATAAGTCAGAGACTTGAACAGGGACTTTACAAAAAGGGGATATTCAAATGGTCAACAAACATTCAACAGATATCAATACACCTCCACCAGAAAGGCTAAGATTAAAGACCGAAAATACTAAGTGTTAGAGAGCGTGTGAAGAAACGCACATAGACTACTGTGGGCGTGCAAATTGATAAAAGCACTTAGGAAAACTGTTTGGCAGTATTTGCTAAAGCTTCACTCCTAGGTATAAATCCAACACAAACGTGTCCACACGTGCAGCAAAAACCATTTCCACAGTGTTCACATCAGCACTATTTAAATAACCCCAAACTGGAAACAACTTAAATGGGTGAATCTCACAAACATAATTCTGAGCAAAAGAAGTCAAATAAGAGTACCTACGATGTATGATTCCATTTGAAAATTGAAAAACAGGCAAAACTAACCTATGGTAACGTCAGCAATAGCGTTAATCTCTAGGAGGAGGGGAGATTCTAACTAGGAATAGGACAGGGGCTCTCTAGGGGCTGGCAAAGTTCTCGTTCTTGGCCTGGATGGTGTTATACAAATGTTCACTTTGTGAAAATTTACTGAGATACTTCTTTTGTGATATACTTCAATTTTAAAAGTTCGACATTTTTATATCCATATCTTCATCCTAACAAAGCAAGAACCGTAACATTCTTACCTCCCCTTGATCTCCATCATGCTGATATTGTCTAAAATTAATTCTGGCTTATTACGGATAGAGTTCCTTTTACACCTTTCTCCCCCTAAGCAAACTTTACCAACATATCTGACCACTCTTACACCCTAGCTCTTGAAATATCTCCTGGACTTGTTTTTGTTGAGTATTTTCTCCAAAATATTTACAATGTGGATCTTTGAGTGGTAAATCTTTTTTTTTTAAGATTGGCACCTAACAACCGTTGCCAATTTTTTTTTCCTGCTTTTTCTCCCCAAATCCCACCAGTACATAGTGTATATTTTAGTTGTGGGTCCTTCTAGTTGTGGCATGTGGGACATCGCCTCAACGTGGCCTGACAAGCGGTGCCATGTCCTCGCCCAGGATCCGAACTAGCAGTACCCTGGGCCAGCGCAGCAGAGCGTGCAAACTTAACCACTGAGCCATGGGGCCGGCCCCTGAGTGGTAAATCTTACTTTTTATTAAGCCCTCATATTTGAATAACAATTTAAATGGATGTAAAATTTTAGGTCCAGTACTTTAAAAATATTGATTTCTTACAGCCAGTATTGCTCTTGAAAACACTGAGGTCAATCTGATTCCATTTCTTCAATGATTTACTGTCTAAAAGCTAGAAAGATTTTTCTCATTATATTTCAGTATGTGTCTAGATATGGGTAATTCCTTCTCTTTCTTGTTTTGCCCTCAATGGCCCTTTCAATCCTCAAATATTTTCTTCTTCTGGACCTCTTTTTGTTACCTGAATGTTGGTACATCTACTTCTATCCCTTATCTCACTTAAATCTGCATTTGTATATTCTATTTATCTCTTTGTTATTGTTTCCTTCTGGGAGTTTCTCAATCTGATTTTCCAACTCACTAATTCATTCTTCAGGTATCCATTCTATTTTTACTCCATTTTATTGTTCTTTATTTTAAATGTTTTTTATATGTCTCCTTGGTTATTTCTTATTCTTGTATCACATTGCTAAAATCTTCCCTTTTTTCTTTCAATGTTTATTGGCTTTATTTAAGATTCGGACGGTCTTATGCAACCCAGTTTGTTGTTTTCTTCTGAACCAGTGGCATCTCTTAGGTATCACTTTACTTTGGCTTGTGAACTCATTTACACGGTAGTATGGGCACTTCTGAGTGAGGATAGAATGTACTGGGGAAGGGCTGAGGGCCAGCCCTCTGGGCTATGTTGGGGTTCAAACAGACAGAAGAAGAAAAGTCCTACGGTGGACAGCCTCAACACTCCAAAAACCATAGTTAATTATTTCAGTTTGTCATCTGCCAAGTAATGCTTCAGATCAGGGCTTCCCCTTCAGACGCCACGGGAGAAACGGCAGTTTCCTAAGGCACTTCCTAGAGTCCAGGGCCTAGATTGTAACCCACCAGTCCTATGAGTCTGGAAGGGGAAGGGTGAACAAATAATGTGAAAGCTAGTCAATCCTTCCCTGTTTTCCCCAAATCTTCACCCGAAAGGGCTTTTGTGCTGCCCTGATTTTATCTGGGAGGACAGCTGTAGTAGACCTCTGGTCCACTGTACTAGTACCTGCTGTGAGAAAGCAGGCAAAGGCAACTGATTTTCTCTAATGAATCTACTCATAGACATTCAGCCAGCCACATCCCCACCAAGAACCACTTCAAAATAGCCCCCCGCATCCCCTGGGAGTTTTATCTTTTTTTTCTTTGAATTATTATCTACACACACTAAAAGAAATATTCTAATCAAAATATAACAGAACTTTACATGGTTTTATTTATACATTACTGGTATTGAAAGCAAATTTTATAAAAAAGTTTTATACAGATAAAAAAATCCTTGGCTACGCAAAGCCATTTATGTGTGTGTATACACACAAACACACATACACAAAGTATTTTACATCATTACAATTATACATATTTACAGATACACTATTTAAATTATTTTACAATTTACCAAATCAGGAGAGGCAATTAGAAAAGCAAATAAAAATGAAAACAAACTAAAAATGCTACAAAACTATCTTTAAAAATCTAGAAAAGAAAGTCATGTCTTTGAAATATCAAAACTAAGGTTTCAATATTATATACTTGTTGCTTTTATCTTAAGAACAAGTTTTAACCTGTCTGAAAATAAAATTCTTGACCAATAACAGGTAAGCAAATCAGACTGATGACTGGAACACTGAACATGCTGACTTGAAATTAAAGAATCAACAAGTAACAACAAATGTAATTACTATCTAGTAATCAAATATGTCATAAAACTGCCCTCTACTTCCCCATTTAAAACATGAGGAATTCCGAGCTTCTGTGTAGTATGCAATATCAATTAAGATCCCAAGGAATTCAGCAACTTATCTGCAATGTAAGAAAATGCTAAAGTTATGATTCTATTTTTCTGATACAACCATTTCATAAAGTGTTGTTCTTTTAAAGCGAGTTCTACTTAGATAGTAAGCAGTTATTTGGTGTTAAAGAACTAGCTTTTTACAGAATCTGTTTGGTAACTTTATTGTTATACTCTGACTTTGACAAGAATTTAATGAGACTATAGTTCTTGGAGGAAAAAACTCAGGAAGCAAGCTAGGAATGAAATAACCCATTATTTGTGCTATCATGCAAGCAAATACAATCTCAAATATCAAATCCATTAAAAAATTTCAGATGTGTAATGAAATTTGGAAATTTCAAACTAATAAGCATCACTTCCAAATACAAGTTAATTCCTTCATGAATGTACATTATCTTCACAAGACAATGGAAGTCATATTTCAAGATAACATCCAGTTAAAACAAAAATTTCAGTTTAATTTCCTCAAGGCAGTGAAAATTTCAAAACACAATGAATCTAAAAAATAATCAGGCCATTTTTGTCTTAAACTATTTTTTTAGAAGTTCTTCAGAATAAGCTTTTTCTTCAAACTCCCCATTATTCAATCTCACATTGTGAATTACATAAATAGAATTTTAACTTCACAGTAAAATACTAAATATCTTCTGAAAATCTCATTAGCAAACTGAAATTAACAGATTATCTACAGACAGTAATTTACATTGGGTCTAGAAACAGATTTATAACTCAAATATTCAGAACTCTTCATACTGAGATCTATGTCCAAACATGATTGGTATTCAGATGTAATTTGAACTTAATTTAAAATTGGCTGTTTAGCATTCAAATAATTATGACCACAAATCAAATGAAAAATAATGACGTGAAACAGCATTACAATTTTCCTTCCGTAAAAGTCCAAAATGTTTAAGCAATTGGTTCAAATCTTACAGGAAAAAACCTGCTGATAAATACTATTGCCTTAATAAACCTGTATAAGAATGGCTTAAAGAAACTGAGGAAACATGTCTGTGAACATTATTAATAATTTAACATGGCAAATCACGTCATCTATTCAGATGACAATGGATTTCACGTTTATGAATGCACATTTTGTATTTTAAAGTATTTTAGCACTCCTAATTAAAAATGTGAATAATATTAAATTACAATCACTGCACAGACTTCACTGCCTATGAAACATACTGCTATTCAAGAATGTTTTATTCTTCTTCATCTACAAAAAATTTCCCATCAACCATCAAATGCATTTCCCCCGACCTTGGACACAGCAGCAATCTGAGAGATGAGGAGAGATGCCCTGCTGATCTGAACGGCAGCAGGCTTCCCTCTGAGCGTGCTCCTGTGGATGAGGTGGCCTGAGAAGCCTGCACGAGCAACATCCTCCAACCTGTGACTGAAGCAGGAACTCAAGTGGATGTCTCTCACCCACTACAGACATCTTCAATGACTAACAGGCCATTAACTGCACGGTTACAGTGTCAACCATTTACTTTACTAGTCTCCTGTAGTGTAACCATTAACTACCTGCATTTTGACTTTTCAAAGAGCTTCATTAGCTGCTGGAATCTTTCTGAGACCTGAAAAATGTTAAATGAGGGTTCGTTATAAATACTTCAATATTATTTTTATCTTTGATGAATATTTTCACAAAACATCTGAAGACAGAGAAAGTTACTCTCAATAACGAGATGAAGTAATGTTTAGAAAAATGAAATATCTTCATACTAAAGGTGACTGCTAGTTTAACTTTTCAACATTAACCTTTCTTAAGCAAATATGATTACAAAATTGCTTGAGATCAATTAAGTAAATGGTAAGGCAACAGAAAAGAAAATTAGGATTGTTATAAACTTCTTCCACAATCATCAAATTTTTAACAGTCTTACATGAAGAATTATAGTTTTAAGAAGTTGGCTAATAATATGTCACATTTTATTTTATTTTTTTTATTTGAGGAAGATTAGCCCTGCTAATTAGCTAATTAGCTAACTGCTGCCAATCCTCCTCTTTTTGCTGAGGAAGCCTGGCCCTGAGCTAACATCCGTGCCCATCTTCCTCTACTTTATATGTGGGACGCCGACCACAGCATGGCTTGATGAGCAGTGCCATGTCCTCACCCGGGATCTGAACTGGTGAACCCCAGGCCACTGAGAAGTGGAATGTGCACACTTAACTGCTGCGCCACCGGGCTGGCCCCAATATGTCACATTTTAAACATGCTAAAAATTAAATCTAAGTATTTAGAGTAGTAACATCTATGAAACTATATAGATATAAAAATTGGGTAGTTACCTGATATGGATTTTTATTCAACTTGGCAGCTAAATAAGAAAATGTTTTCAATGATGGCCCTCTTTTCTGACACTCCAGTAAAATTTCCCGGTCATCATTTCTGAAGGGGGAAAAATAGGATTTAGTTTTTGTAAATTAGAGCAGAAAGATAACAAAAATTCCACTGCCTAAATGTCCACCAATTGGTGACATTTTTATTAAAATCCATAGAAAAAAAAAGTACATACCAAAAATGGACAATAGTTATCTTTGAGAAATAAGATTATGGATGACTTTTAATCTTTGAACTCATATATATTCCCAAATTTTCTAAAACAAACATATTATTTTTCTAATGACAAAATTAAAGCTTTCAGAATTCTACTTTTAATGTGTGTAGTACTTCAAAAATTAGGACCCAAACATGATCACAGACTTAAGAAGCAGAAGAACCAAAAGTAAAATAGAATCCAGATCTCTGCTTTCTCTACATGTCTGAAACAACGTGTGCTGTTACAATCTCTGATTCTATTCTGCCATCTGCAATTTACCTGAAATGAAGGCAAAGAGGACCGCGATATTAAACAAAACTGATCACCAATTTAAAAAAAATCCAGCTTCCCTCATTACGCTTTCTAGTCAAGTCTGGAGATGATGGCCCTCTAACCCAATGGTTCACAACTGTGGTTACCTTGACATCTGAAATGGGGTCTTTAAATCTGTGTTTCTTAAGAAGTTCACAGAAAGTCAAAAGTATAACCTACTTATGAAACTTTTTTGAAACTTTTAAGGGAAAACTCAAATTACAAATGCTCACACATTTTGGCCTATTTTACCACCTGTCATTCCTTCTTTCAAAAATGTGCTTACACCAGCTCCTTACAAACGAAAGAATTCTTTTTAACTGAAAAAGATGAAGTTAAAACACAATGAAAATTTCTGTCCATGGTGCTAACGCACATCCCTGGTTAGGAGACACTGCTCTAGATGGTTCTACAGTGCAGCAGGACTGTACCTTAGGAAGTATTTTCTACCAACTTTGGCCACTTTTGAAGTCAGTCATCACTTTCCTTATTTTAGGATAGGAAAAACTGATGACACAGCAGAACAGATTTCTGGCCTCTCAAAATTTCCCGGTGATTTAAAGGTCTCACAAGATTCTTACCTTGTCCATGAAACTATAATTTCTCCCTTCTTTTTAATAACATTCTTTGCAGAAAGGCCTGTAGAAGTGGCAGATGCTGCTGATGGCTCCTTAATCCCTGGGCTTGCCTTTAATGAGGAATCTTGAGTCACTGCAGGGGCCTTTTTTTTATTGGCTTTCTTTCGGTGAGCTTCACCATTCTCACCAGAATCTTGGGTAATTTTTTTAGTCTTTTCCCTACTAGTTAAGTCTGTTTCCTTTCTCTGTTTTTTCTGAGAAGAATGATTTAGATCAGAAAGGTTTTTTCTCTTTTTCTGAGCATTATCCAAAGCCCCAGGCACCTCTGAACTATGGGAATTTGGTGCTGGCTCTGACTTTACATCATCCTGTTTTACTTCACATGAACTGGGAGATTCCGAGGTCAAATCAATATAGGCTTCCTCAACACCACATTCCAAAGGTCTGTTTGCCACTTGCACCTTTTCTTCCTTACAGTTATCTTCATCCACACATATCACCTGACACCTCAAGCCTTCAACTGCTAAAGCAGGACAGTTACCTTCATTTTTACTCTCACTTGAAACATCTTGTGTCAAATCAATAAAGGCACCCACAGTATCAGGCTGCATATTGTCTAATATTGGAGCATTTTGATCCAAATTGCCTCCAGAACAGCCCAACTGATCAATATTTAAAACTGTTACTTCTATAAATTCCCCCAAGTTTTTGGTCTCAGTGACCGGATCTTTTGTGAGGTCTATATATGTGTTTGGAAGATGATCCTCAACAGAATGTGGGATTTCTTCCACTGGAGGCAATTCTTCAACACTTTCAGGCACTTTTGGTTCCCATTCATGATGCAACTTGAAACATTCATCAGCCACTTCATTACTATGACCCACTTTACCTGAAGCATCTTTAAGGAATTCGTATATATCAGGAACCTGTGTTTGTATCACACAGTCCTCTTCTTCTTGAGCTGATTTACTGCTATCAACATGTTTGTTGGAATTTTGCAATTCCTCCACAGGTTTAAAAACTCTATTCTGACAGGAAGTATATTCTTTCTCTGCTGCTTCATCAGCTTCCTTTTCCACTCTAGGCAAAGATGCCAATGATTCATCAGCCACCATATTCTGTTTAAGATTAGGGGAGGTAGATGGTGCTGCACGTCGTATTTTCACAATGAAGTGGTCATTGGACTTTTCCATTATGACAGCATGCATGGGTAGATTAGGGTGGTACTGAAAGCCTGGAACAACAGACCGGCTTGTCCATGATGAAGAACAACTTGATTTACTGCTTGAATTATCAGACTCCAGAGCTAAATGAATATCTTGTTCAGATGCATCCTCTTCCTCAAGTAAGGCATCTTCACTGAAATGTGCACTAATAACTTCCTCAGGAGTTGAAGTAGACAATACTTCTGGCTTTAAGAAACTGAGATGACCATCTGATTTCAGAGGTGATGGTACTGTTAAAGAGACTGCTAGATCTTCAAGAAGTATGGAAGAAATGCAGGGCTTGCTCTTTTCTGAACTACATACATTATCTTTACTTAAAGCTATGTTAGTGGACACTTCAAACATGCAACTTTCATCCAGCACATCAGGATGAACTGGCAATGAGAGGCCTGAAGACAGAGATGGAGCTTTCTCAGATGATAATAATGACCAATTATCATCGCTAATCATTTTAGGACATGGAGAAACCACTCCTGAAACTAGCTCTTCCGTTGTACATGCTGGTATAGATTCACACTTAAGACTGTCTAGCAGCTGCTTCTCTGGCGTCTTTAACTCCCACTCACTTTTTTCATTACAGTTAACACTGGTGTCCAAAAGATCAGAACCTTGCAACAAACTTTTAAATATTTCACCCATCTGTGCATCACTGACTAAATTAAAAGTAAGGCTAGATGCTTGCTGTTCAGTAAGAATCTCAAAACTGCGTTCTGGCTTCAAAGCTGCATGCTGGGACGTCTGTGCATCCTCCACGGTGCTTCCTTCTATTTTTCCCGGCTTTGGGGCGCTCAGGCAGTTTAGTTCTAAGGAGTGCTCTTCTGATTGAGAGTTCTTAATATTATCAAAGCAACTGTTAAAACTTTTTTTAATGTCATACTTCACTGTGTTAATATTGGAACAATTTTGGTCTTGATGTTTTTCCTCAGATTTTTTACATCCCACCAAGGACCTATAATAAACAGAACCTTCTGATGTGGGGGATTTCGCTTTCAGTATTTCTTTGCTGGAGCTGTCCACATTCCCCTTCCGACAATTTAAATATTGTGATTTCTCTTTATTTCTCTTTTCAAGTTTTCCTTCGTCACTGTCGCTACCGAAGTTTACAGAATCACAAAACTTTACTAAGATTTTCTTAAGCTTTGCAAACAAATAATCAAGTTGCTCATCGACAAATTTCCACAATTTTTTTTTCATATCTGGTAGTTGCTGTTCAAATAAGCGATCCACTATGCCATTCTTTTTAACTTGCTTAAGTTTGGATTCTATGACATCACAGAGATTCTTCTGCAAAACAGTCACTGACTTAGAGATTTTAGATAAGTCAAGTCGCTTAATCAGTGATGTGAAACTCAAAATTGCTGACTCAACAATTCTATGAAATTGCATTAATGAAAATTTTACCTTGAATTTCATATAATTTTTCCTTACATGTTTTCTTATCATTCGTAACATGTGCATAACTTCTCGTACAGAAAAGGGTGGAGCAATAACTGGAACTATTTTTTCCAGGCTCGCAGTGCTCACTGTCTTATCTTTCCTCTCTGCTTTTGAAGGTCTGCTAGACTCACTTTGTCTTTTATTCCATTTGCTTTTGGTCTGATGGACCTTTACAGCAGACGTCTTCCCACTGTCTTTATCCAAATGCACAGCAGTTTTCCTGCTTCCGGGGCTAGTTTTTTTATTCCATTTGCTTTTGGTCTGATGGACCTTTACAGCAGACGTCTTCCCACTGTCTTTATCCAAATGCACAGCAGTTTTCCTGCTTCCGGGGCTAGTTTTTGTATGCTGCACGTCAGCAGAGGCTCTAGGTTTGGCACTTTTTTCAAAACTTTTCTGTGGTTTAGATTTTTCACTGTCACTTATAATTTCTCCTTCTTCTAATTCATCTAAAGATGAATTCTTAAGGGAGTCTGCCTCTGTAAATCTGTCAGATTTGCAAATTGGCTTTTGATTTTCCTTATTGAGATCAGACTGACTCTTGGAGGTAGAATGAGCTGAATCTGGTGGAAACACATCTGTGGAAGTGAGAAAGTATATTATAATCATATGATCATTGAGTCTTAGTCATTTGACATTTCTATACAAAATACAATAAAAAATTAAATACTGAGGCAATTCACTTATTCTAATAACTTTTTCTTTTTAGCAGAATGTTACTGCCTGATTAATACTTATTCATGTCATTGGTCTTTACTGGCCTTAAAATATACTCAGAAGGTAACTGACAAGAGGGTAGTACAGAGTTTGGTCATTTGGATAACATCAACCCACTGCTCAAGTATCTTTACTTCATGTTAGCAGAACCACCTATTCTATGCCATTTGATGATGGTTTCTGAACAGCAAAAATATACCTGAAAGCAAGCAAAGGGTATATGAAACGATTTGTTCTACCACTCCCTTTTTTTACATAAATAAGAATTACCTAAATTTAACAACTCAACGTACATTTCAAGTTAACAACGGGGGTCTGGATAATATGTTAGCCATGTTATTAAAAAAGAAAAAGCACTAATTCATCTTGCTTACGGCATCCACATTCTCACAAAAAGATAAGGCATAGAAGATAATACAAACTATTACCTTTATGACTGTTACTATATAATGGGACTTGAGATGGGCTTTCCATTCTAAGGACTTTTGCTACAGGTCTCACTGGACTATTCAGAGGACTGATGGCCTCTGGAATAGGTCTCAGGTGATTAAGGTCAATGCTCAGAACTGAGTTCTCGTCATCATGATATATTGAGTTTGTTTCACCAATTTCCACTCTGTGGTCCATTAACTCAGTCTGCTGAAGTGAAGATTCTAGAGGCTCTTTAGGTGAGCAAGGCTCCAAATGACAAGACTTACTCTCAACCAGTGGTGTACCTACAAGAGAAGGCTCAAATTGTGGGTTACCATCTTCTGAAAGGACTATTGGCAAAACACCATCTTCTTCGATTGAAGGCTGCAAAATGCTTCCACTGGATTCAGCCACTTGTGTTGAAAAAGCCTCCTTCATTTCTATACCTTCAGAAATACTACCAGAATTTAAACCATCGTTTCTTTTGATATCCAATTCCAAGCCAAAGTTTTGAGAAACATTTGTTTGTAATATGTCCACGACCACAGGAACTGCTGCCCCTGCACCATTAATGGTTTGTTCCATTTCTGTTGATGATGGAAACAAGGATTCTGCTTTTTCCATTTCCACAGGTGCTGAGAAGGAAGTCTCTGTACCACAAAGGGGCACATCACAAGGCACAGTATTCTCAACAGATTTAACTAACAAGCTGTTTTCTTCTTCCATTTTCCTTTCTGGAATTTTAGTCCTGGATTCAGATTCTGCTGCAAGAGCATCATTTGGTTCCAATACCTTTGATTTGGTTTCCTCTGTGATATGTTCACTGACAGAGGGAACACATGTCACTGTTTTAGCCTGCACCAAGGACTCTACGTCACATGTGCCACTGGATTTGGGAGTATTGGTTATTTTATGCTGATTATCCTGAGAAACAGGCTGCTTTTTAGCAGGAGAAAGAGTTAAGTTCAATTTTTCCATAAAACTCAACTTTAAGTCCTTGTTCTTCGTTTCATTTGGACCACTCTCAGCTTTACCTGTAAGCTCTTTATTATCTCCTTCTTTGGAAATATCATTATTAGAGACTTCACCTTTATCATTTTTTGGCTCATGCTGTCTCTTTAAATCAGTAGTGGTTTTCTTAGTTTCTTTGTTGGTCTTCTGCAAATGTTCTGTAGGCGTTCTTTTTTCATTTCTCATATGCCTATTTTCATCTTTGCTTTCTCGTTCTCTTTTCCTCTTATCTTCAGTTCTATGCCTTTCTGCTTTTAAAGGTGTATTTTCCCATTGATGCACAGCATCAACTTCCTTGGAGTCAATGTGTTTGTGAGTTCTACTAGTTGAAAAAGAAGAGGGACATCTTCCTTCTTGGAAACTATGATTACTTACACCCCTGTCTCTTTTACAATCTTCCCTTCCTCTTCTCTCTTCTACATGGTATTTACCTGAATTATGAGAAGACTTTGTTATTTCATTCTTGGAATGAGGAAACGATGCTCGTTCAGATCTTCTCCAATAATCCTGGTCTTTTACTATTGATTTAGGTTTTTGATCAACTTTTCTTTCTTCTTTGTCTTGTGATTTAAATTCTTTTCTATTTATATTTTGTGATCTTTCACTTTGTCTTTCTGGTTTTTTGTCACTTTGAGATTCTGTTCGAGTGTGTGGCCTTTCTCTAGAGGTCTCTTTCTCCCAAGAAGAACTAAGGCGTTCATTTTTATAGTCCAAATCTGTGTTACTTTTAAACTTTGAATGTGTGCTTTCAGCCTTGGGTTCACCTCTACCATATTTCTCAGGGCGTCCTTGCAGCCTTTGACTAGCCTCTGTGTGCCTTGGTTCACCATCACCACAGTTCGTGTTTAAGTCTTTTCGTATCCTGTCAGTTCCTCTGCTATATTGGCTATGTCTAATATCTTTTCTCCCTCTTCTACTATCCTCACTGGAGCTACCCTCACCAACCTGATAATGGGAACGTGACCAAATGCCATTGGTGCAGTGTGTTTCAAGAGATGTAGGCAGATGCAAAGTGCCCTTTTTTCCAGAATGTGATTTCCCTTCTTTTTCGAGGTTTGGCAGTGAAGTGCTATGATGTACATCTTTAGAAACATCACTTTTCACTCTGTGATCAGTCTTTGAACAGTCATCCAAATGAGGAGATCTGGATTTAAGATCTTTTGTTTTAACTATATCTGATGTCCTTGAAGTTTTATGATTATTTCGAAAATGTGGAAACTCGGACAATCTATTGAGAAATAAACAGCAAAAAGAAGTTGATTACTTTTTAATAATCTAAATTTTAATCACGTGATAAACTTTAAAATTCAGGGGCCCACATACTGGCAAAACTAATTTTATTTTGTATAAAGGCCTGAGTGATAGGCATTTACCAGCTTCCTACTAAGTGAGCAAGCCTTCCTCAAACAAAGTCTGGAGGACCTCTCAGCTATATCCCAGCACTTGCCACTTCCTTCACCATGCACATACAACTCCCAAACTAACCACAAATTCCCTTCTTTTAGAACAAGTGATATTACTTTCTTGCTCTCACTCCCTCTAGCCCAACTGAAACAGAAGGAAAAGCGAAATCTTGCTCAACAACTGATACAATCAAAATAGAACTCCATGTAGCTCCCTATCCTAATTTTCTGTTTCACATACAATCCCACAGTAAACCAAAGCATCAACAGCTGTCTTATAGTGGCACATACTGAGCAAAAATAGAAAGGAATATAGAGTTGGGATTCTCTCCTAGGGGAACGATTTTATTGTTTAAAAAAAAAAAGCCTAATAAGGTTTCATTAGTGTTTCAGAAAACTGGCAGCTTTCCTAACAATAAAATGTAAACAGCTCATTTTAGCTTTTTGTAGTAATATAAGTCCCTCTTTGTGAACTTCCATAACTTTCCCAAATTCCCATAAATCTATTCCTAATCAGTACTAAATGTGTAGAGAACACCAAAACTTAAAAGACTCAGAAATAAGGGGAGATTTTCATAAAACAAAAGAGGACACAGGAGACATATAACCTAAGGTAATCTGTAGACTTTATATGGATCTTCTTATGGGTTGAACTATGTCCCCTCAAAGAACTTTGTTGAAGTCCTAACCCCCAGTACCTCAAAATATGACGTTACACGGAGACAGGGTCTTTACAGAGGTAATCAAGTTAAAGTGAGGTCACTAGGGTGGGCCCTAACCCACTATGACAAGTGTGCTTATGAAAAAGGGAAATTTGGACACAGAGACAAGTATAGAGAGAAGACAATATGCAGAGATAAAGGAAGATGTGACCATCTACAAGCCCAGGAGAGAGACCTGGAACAGATCCTTCCATCACACAGCCAACAGAAGGAATCAATCCTGCTGACACCTGGATCTTGGACTTCCAGCCTTCAGAACAGTGAGACAATAAATTTCTTTTATTGAAGCCACCCAGTTTGTAGTACATTCTTATGGCAGCCGTAGGAAAATAACACAGATTCCGACTCAAAAAACCAAACATTAGAAGACAGGCTTGAGACAACTAGGAAAATGTGAACATAAAAAGCACTAACCAAAAGAGAAAAAGATTTGACAAACTGAATTCCACTGAAATTAAGAACATTTATTCCTCACGAGACACAATAAACAGAGTGGTAGACAAGTCAAAGAATGGGAAGATATTTGCAATGAATTTATCCAACAAAGAACTCATATTCAACAAAGGATGTACATGTGTAAGGTGCATCAAACTTATTAAACCATAAGCTCCTAAAAGATAGTTCTAGGGGCCATCCCAGTGGTGTAGTGGTTAAGTTCGCACGCTCTGCTTTGGCAGCCCAGGGTTCATGGGTTCAGATCCCAGATGTGGACCTACACACTGCTCATCAAGCCATGCCATGGTGGCGTCCCACATACAAAAGAGAAGAAGATTGGCACAGGTGTTAGCTCAGCTACAATCTTCCTCAAGCAAAATGAGAAAGACTGACAACAGATGTTAGCTCAGGGCCAATCTTCCTGACCAAAAATAAAAGACAGTTCTAGCCCACAGAGCTCATAACACATATTTAGTACAACTCTGTACTAAATAAAATACTATCAAAAATTTTATTTTATTTTTTTGCTGAGGAAGATTTGCCATGAGCTAACATCTGTCGCCAATATTCTTATTTTCTATGTGGGTCACTGCCACAGGATGGCTGCCTACGAGTGGTGTAGTTCTGCACCCAGGAACCGACCCGGGGATGCCGACGTGGAGGACACCAAGCTTAACCACTAGGCCATGGGGCTGGCCCTCAAAAGTTTTATTTTAAAATAAACCTGTATATTAAACACTTTCCATAATTTGCTCTTAAATTTTCACCTTATATTAATATTTGCATTTTTTCCTTTAAACATCAAGTTTCAACCAAATCATAAACATGTATCATTAGAATACTAGGCATAGCTCACAATTAAAAAGTGAAACTATTTCACAGAACATTTCTTAATCTATAATCACATCAAACAATCTAATGACATAACTCTCATCATTTATTCACCTAGTTTCTCTTTTCACCCTGTTCAAACATCATATTCCTCTCCTAAAAGATTCAGATACATATAAAATTTCCCGAACACTTCAGGAACCAATCTTATCCTAGTTGCACTGGTGGGATTTGGGTTGGTAAACATGCACAACCATCTTCATTTTCAAAAGTGCTTTATAATGCCATCTGGTCCACACAAGATTGTCTACATTCACTCTTCAATCATTTACTGAGTATCTACCATGTGTCAGGCACTGTGCTAGGTGCTTCATAACATGGTGAGGGAACAGAGACATGGTCCCTGCTCCCATGAAGCTTACAGTTTAGTGGAACAGAAAGATACTAATCAAGTAATCCCATCCATGATTTAAACAACCACAAGTGTAGAGAAAGCTACTAAAGAGAGATTTGACCTAGTCGCAGAGAATGGACACATATCCTCTGTGAAAAGAATGTTTATGCTGCGACCTGAGGATGAGTAAGTATCTAGCAGGTGGAGGAGAGGAACACTGCAGGCAGTGGAAACAGTCCACACAAAGGCAGAGTTCATGGTACAACCAAGGAACCAAAAGAATGTCAGAGATGTACCAGAGCTATGACACCTAGGGCAAAGGTAAACAAGAAGGCAGGCCTGAGAAGTAGTTTGGGACCATAATGTGAAGAGCCCTGTGGGCCAAGTTAAGACTTAGACCTTTTATCCTAAGAACAATGGAAAGTCACTGATGTATTTTAATCAAGAAAGGGAGTGGGATGGGCTGGTTCTGTGATAGTGAGATATCCAGACTTGTGCTTTAGAAAGTATCCTGGGGCTTTAATATTGAGAAGAGACAAACCAGAGGCTAGAAAGAGCAAGAATGAATGCAGAAATACCAGCACAAAGACTACTGCCAGTTCAGATGACAGTTTAGGGGCAGCAATGATGGTAGAAATGTGGAGAAACGAAACATTTGAGAGATTATAAAGACATAAAAATTAACAGGACACAGCAAGGAATTTGGATCTGAGAGATGATAGAGAGCTAAGTGTCAATGACGACTCCTACGCAGGGTGACTGTGTCTCAGTTTGCCAAACAATCTCAGTGTACTTATTAATAGCACTCCCTTCTACTCTCAAAAGTATCCCAGTTTGAGCAATTATATTAAATGGTCATACTACCCCTAGGTCTCTAGCTTCACCGGCAGAATAAATGACGGGGAATCCACTAAGCTAGGACAGAACAGAAGAAGTCTGATCATAAATTCAGTTTTAAATGAGGTAATTTTGAAAATTTTCTACAGACGTGTAATTATCTACATATAAATGGAACTGACCTAACATGAGTGATATTACCTCAAAAGAAAATACTGATAGAGAAAGGAAAGGACATAGGTTTGAGCTTTGAAGAATTCCAATGCAGCCAAGTAAAGAAGAGTAAATTTAAAGTTAGGAAGGGAACAAAGAATCATGAAAGCCAAAGGAAGAGACTATTTCAAGAAAGGAGGGTCAACTACGGCAAATAGCATGTGAGGACAAGTTAAAATGAGAAATCAAAATTATTTGATGGGGAAATTGAGGGAGCAAAATTGCAGGGTGAGCTGACCTGGGACTCTCTCCCCTCCAAACTACAACAAAGGACTGGAAGAAAAACCCTGAATTTCAGCTAATAAACCTAATGCCAGGACTTAGAGACCTACACTATCAAAAGACGGAGGACGGAGACCCTGCTGCTGGCCTCGGAGGAGCTGGAACAGGGTAGGAGAGAACTTTGCTCCCTCCCCTAGAGTCTGGGATCGCTGCACGCGTCTGGGAAGGAGTGGGGGAGGGGCCACATGACCAGGGGATAGTCTAGGACTCCTGCTGCCAGTACAGTGGAAACCCGCTGACAGGGGAAAGCTTCCGTGCACGGGGACCCCATAAACCCAGGGCCCCGGGAGACCAGAGAACAGAACTGATCTGAATCCAGATCGGCCACAAGAATAGCAGCCCCTCCCTCCCGGAAAAGCCACTGGGCGCAGCCATCTTGCCTGAAGGCGGAGAGCTCAGAACACGCAGCTCTCGACCCCCATCTAGTGGCGACAGGCTCTAACTGCAACTGAATTCTACCACCATGCAAAAAAGTCGCTCCTCTACTATCCAGCAATTTATAAAAGCCCCAGACCAGAAGGAAAACAATAAAAACACAGAATTAAGTCCTGAGGACTTGGAAATAGGTAAACTAAGTGAAAATGAGTTCAGAGCAGCTATAATCAAACAGATCAATGAAGTAGAGAGAAAGATAGAGAAACAAGCCAACGAGTTCTGGAGTTACTTCACAAAAGAGATTGAAATCATAAAGAAGAATCAAACAATTACTAGAGATGAAAAACACAATGGACCAGATAAAACAGAATTCAGATTCCCTGAATGTCCATGTAGACACCACAGAAGAGCAAATTAACATAAGTGAAGACAGACAGGCTGAATGGCTCCAGACAGAGGAAGAAAGAGAACTAAGAATTTAAAAAAACGAGGAAAATCTCCGAGAGATAATGGATTCAATGAGGAGTAAGAACATAAGGATCATAGGGATTCCCGAGAATGTGGAGAAGGAAAATGGAGCAGAAAGTGTGCTTAACGAAATTATTGAAGAGAACTTCCCAAATCTAGGGATTGACGGAGAAATGTGTGTAGAGGAAGGTTTCAGATCTCCTAGATTTGTCAATGTAAAAAGACCTACTGCAAGGCACATAGTAGTAAAATTGGCAAAAAGGAAAGA